ATCACTGTAATAACCTCACTGTCCTACTACTCCTGTTTGTCATCACTGTAGTGACCTCACTGTCCTACTGCTCCTGTCCAATGCCACTGTAATGTCCTCACTGCTCCTGCACTGCACATCAAGGCTTCCATATGGCGAGACCCACAAAATTCCCAATTTGTTGCTCCCGTTGAGCTCTGAGTTCCTTAATTGAACCCCTAAATTGAGCAAATGATTAGTTTAATTAGATTTCTAATTGATCTCAGGTCCCCAAAGGCCACATTTTTCTATTGATTTGTTTTCCTACTATTATCTAACTTGATCTCTCCAAAAACACTGCAATCTTGAAAAAAGTACCATTAGCAAATTACCAGCTGGGTTAGGGGTTCTGAAACACAAGCTAGGGCTCAGAATAAAAGGCAGACTATTTTCTGGTACTTTGAGTAGAAAGTCATATCAGAGGCTGTATAAAGACAGAACTGAAGGTCAGAGCACAATGACATTTCTATGTATTTACACAGGCAATCACATTCAGTTTTGCTTATAATTAATGGTAGGTTTACCGTCATGCTGATCCCTGTGTAACACACAGGCAGATTTCCCAGCATAAACCAACCTGTTTTTTGTTGTCCTTCTTGCCTATATACAGTATATTTTACAGGTGATGTCTGACCTCCGCAAGTTTATGGCAATAATTGAGCCAAGCTCTCAATACACCACAGCTTGATGTCAGGACTGGCAAAGGATGAAACAGTTTAAGCCGAACCCACGCCAATGTCTTGATTGTCAGACGAAGCCTGTCTTGTGTGGCAAATAGCACATTTCTCCACATCTACACCCTTCAAGCTGTAACGAGCCAGTTCGACTGAAAACAGAGAGATTCAGGGCAACAATGTCTGCAACCAAACCAAGCACATTAGGGAATTTCTATCCTATACTCCTCACAGTGTAGACTAGATCCCTTATCACATGGGACTGTTTGCTTCTAGCCAGACAAGATCATCTACAGCACAGTCACGGGGAGAGAACAGGCATCTGAGGATGTGGTCATCTACACCAACATTGTCACGGAAGACTGCAGAACGAAGATGGAGCCGGTTTTGGGGTCTGTTGTCTACTCGTGTGTGCACCACCATGTGCAGACAGACCACAGCTCTGAATAGGTATGTCAGATTGGCAAACTCTTTAGTGATGGGAGATCTTACTGTGGTCAATTGCAGTGAAACTGTAATACAAGTATAGGTGTTTGAGGGACATATGGAGGTGAGATTCATAAATGGATAGGACAAAACAATGAGGTCATTTACAAAATGATAATAGGACATTTCCTATAAGGGTTATTATAGAAATGCCCTGAGCTCTTTTGGGGATTTATTTCTGTATAAGTAATAGTATCTGTACCTTTATTAGTAGTATTCATGTTGTTATGTATGTTGTCCATTGTCATTGTCTAAAGTTTTCTTCTGCATATTTGATTCTCAGTATTAATACTATATACAGTACTGCAACCTGATACAGGTGTGGCTTTTGTAGGCTTTCAAGAGAGAAGATGATTTGACCCTTCATACTGTACAACAATACTAGCATAAAAAATAAAGTGCATATTTTCGGCTCTCATATTAAAGTTAAAAACACTTGCACTAAGAGCTAAACTGCCTCTATGTTTGTGTTGATCTCACAGAGGATTACAATATGGTCCCCTCCTGTGTATGGTGCTCTCTGGCTAGTGACCATCACCTGTTGGGCACACTTGAACACCTGTGTCTGAACACAGCCACATCTGGAGACTGTGGAGTCTGCTGCCTCAGCTCAGCAGCAGCTTAACCGAGAATTAATTCACATCCAGGGTCAGATCAGCAGCTGCTCTATCTCTAACTCAACATTGACAGCCTGCGGAGGGAGAGGACTGAGGCAGTGTGTAATAACTTCAGGAGAGGACCTCACAGCGCCTAACTCATTTTTAGTTTTCATACTGTATATGGGATTTATGTTTTTTTTATGCAGGACTGCTTAGGACCCTGAGGCCACCAGGGGTCCCCTCACACACTACAGATGCTTTTTAATTGTCACGTACAAATGTGAACAAATATTCCTTCTAGTGGCTCTTTGTGTTGTTGCTGTGCTCACCTAGACTGTTAAAGCTCGTTAGTTATAAATGATAATAGTATTAGTTGTGAATGTAAGTGTGGTGGTTTATTTTACTTCAGATGTAACAAGATAACAATATCAGTGTGGTTTCAGCTGCCGCTACACTGAATGCTACTACTAGTGCTACTTTACTAGAAGTTAAGAGATTCACGTTTCACGTTACTACTTTCAATCCTAAATTATGTTATCTTTGTAAAATGTCCAATTCGTGTTCATTTCTTGTAAGTAATATATTACATTTCCTTCAAAGCAGGTTAATAAAAGTTTTCTAGTTATTTAATTCATTTATTTAATTGTTTTAAATAGTAAAATGAGGTTTGGGTGGGTGCTGATAATAGTCTCTCCACAAATAGTGATCAGGAGGGCCCCTTTCCAAGCTCTTGCCTATTCTCCACAAGCAACGGCTGGCCTTACATTTATATACTTATTTCATGCAGCCTTTAAGTGACTAGAATATGCTGGAAATGCTGGTTTGATGGAGTAATGCACAAAAACAGTTTGCTGCGTAAAAATAATGTTGATTTCATTTAAAAGTAAGTCAATGTTAAAGTGCGCAAATGTTTTTTCCGCCAAGTCAGGCATAGAGGAGTGAATGATGGAGGAATGATGGAGTGCAATACCATCATTAGACACAAGGTGGCGACAACCTTCCCCTTATCGAGAAGCTCTATAAATGGCTGGCATTCCACACACTGCACATTCCATATGCATTCCATGAAGTTGGTGACTGGGATGACTTGTTGCCCGAGGAGATTCACGTCATAAACAAAGCTGCATGTACACCTGAGCATTGATTCTCCAGAGTTTTTCTTTTCCTCTATATGCAAGATATAGTAAACAATTACTTGTTTAATATTTTGTAAGAGATGTATCAGAAACAAGAAGACTCCAGATCCTCGGTGTAAAGCTGTGGGACTTTGGGATAAGCTACCCAGCCATGGGGATGAAACCTGGTTTCATTCAAGAAACAGCTGGGCGAGATTCTTGCTTCAATTCACTACTATCAGACAGGATTGAGGGGACGAACTGCCATCTCCCATTTGTAAATGTTTTCATATGCTTATGAAAGTAGAAAGAACAAAAACACTGTAACAGCTGAGGCTGATCTCTTGTTGCTCATTTTCTCCTCAGCTTCTCCTGTGGCTCAGGAGTCCTTTTCCGTGTCCTTTTTCTCCTCACTCAAACCCCTTCAGATATCTTCATGCTGTGTAGTACATTCGATTATCATGTGGCTCAGCAGCAATGAGGCCACTCTGTTGTTACAAATAGGAAGGATATGAAATCTTTCTTTGTAAAGGGAAGTTAGTATCAGGGAACTGCACAGAAAACAACTTTCAAATTTTACCAGCAATGAAGCTCCTTGCAATCATGGCCGTTCTGTCAGGTAAAACACTTTCCAGCTTGCATTTTCAGCTGCATCGTGTATGTGATAGAATGTAAAGTACATCTAATTTTACAGTTTTAAATGTTCCCTATTTAAGCTGAAATAAATCTTATTTATTAACTTTTACTCTCATTAATAAAGAAAAGTCCCCTTTTGACACTAAGGATGTGATTTTCTGTTCTTACAAAAGTGTAACTACATGTATGTGTAAAGGAGTTCATGTCAAGATCTATATTCTACGCATACAATAAAAAATGTTTCAGGGATGCTGTTGTTAAATCTCTGCTCTCTCTGTATTGTAACTACAGGTGCTCATTCAATAATAGTGCTGAATTCCAAGGACGTGACTGGCTGGGTTCATGGCACAGTGACAGTCCAGTGTTCTTATAGCACCGAAAATCAACTCAGCAACCAGGTGAAATACTGGTGTAAAGGACACAATCTTCTCACTTGTACTATTTTGGTGAGGACTGATGACTCTACGACTCATGACAGGATTTCCATCAGTGATAATAAGACAGAAGCAATGGTGTCCATCACCATGAAAGATCTCCAGGAAAGGGATGAAGGGGATTACTGGTGTGGGGTGTCCTTACCTGGACCAGATGATGCAGAACAAGTTCACATCAAGGTCAACAGAAGAAAAGGTAAAATTTATTTCACAGTGGAGAGCAGCATATAAAGTTAAAGATTACAGTTCCTACTATCTGTCATTTATATAATTATAGGGTTTTATTTTTCTAAGTAAAAGTTAAAAAATTCTGTTAAATATTAAGATTTCCTTCAACAACAGAAGAAAAGGTCAAATTAATTTGAGCTCAATGCTATACTACAACATGGAGTGCAGCACACAAGGTGTTGAACTAAGGTTGCTAATACTGTACTTATTATTTTACTGCTAATACTGTATAGAATGTATAACTGTAAGACTTGTTTTTCTATGGTGTTAAAAATATATTCAATATAAAGTAATTCTACAGCAATATAAAACTGGGCTTAATTACTGACCTATATTCTGCTTGTGACTTCAATTCACATTATAACAATTTGAAGTAAAAGAGACAATTCAGCAGGTTATAATTTTCTAATGCTTAGAATAATACTGTCTGCCTAATCTGAGAGAAATGATACTCTATAATACCCTGGAAAAAACAATACTTTGCTTCAAGAATCCTCTGTTGTAAGTTTGTAAAAAAAAAAACATTATTAAATGGTGTAAATTCAGAAAAGCAGTCACTTTCACAATGTTCATGTCACAACCTGTTTTTACTCTGGTTAGCCATAAATGACAAAGGTTTTTAAAAACCTGAAATATTTGGAGTAAAAAGCAAGTTTATCAACTACTGGCTTTAAACTACTATTAAATTAGCAGGTACCTGTATTGGTACTGTATTATAACAGAGTTAGTAACAGACGTTGAATCAAGCAAATGTAAAAAATTAGACTACATAGCTGTACTACTTGTGCTAAGTAATGGATTGATTCATTCTAAGGGAGTAGGTCAGTAGAGAGGTGTGGTTTAGAAGCAACATCATGACAAAGCTACTGAAGTGGAAAGAAAAGAAGATTAAAGTAGTCTGTCTTTCTCTATAAAGTGAAGTAAGTTGGTGAGAAGGGAGTTGCCAATAAAATGTTTTATGTTCTTCAGCAATTAAGCTCTTTGGCCATTCTGTCAGGTAAAGAGAGCTCTCTCATTTGAGTGTTCATCGCAACAATTTTACTTTTTGCTCCGATGACATCCATCCATTTTCTAATCACATGTTCCAATTTAGGGTCAGAGGGGAGCCAGAGCTTATTCCAGCAAGCAATTGGCACAAGGCAGGATACACAATGGACAGAACAACAGTCCATAGAAGGGCACACACTCACACCAGGGCAGATTTCCCCAGAAGTCAATTAGCCTACTGGTCTTCCTCTGTGGGAGTCAACCAGAGCACCCAGAGGAACTCCACACAAACACAGAGAACACACAAACTTCACACAGATAGCACTCCTGGTCTGGAATTGAACCTAGGGCTCCAGTTCTGTGAGACCACTGTTTTACCAACTCTGATGACATATAATGTACAATTTCTTCAACACAGTTTGCCTTAAAGCTAAGCTGAAATTGAAAGCTTTCATAATGCAAAACCATGAAAGGTGAGCAAACGTCCCCAGTGCACTGTTCCAGTGCAGGGAGGGTACTGTATCATTGAGAACACACACGGGCTGACCTGCAGAACTATGATGACTCCAAAAAATAAAAACAAAGACTCTTTAGTATCCTTTCATTATTTCAACAGATTCAGGGGCGAATGAATCATCAGAAGAAACAGAAAAAAACACAACTGACCCCAGAGAGACGACGCCTGTGAGCAGTGGGTCCGTTACAACTACAGAGCCTCATACTGACTGTCTCCTCTAATTAAAATGAAAATTATTATTTATTAAATTATTTATGGTAGAATTTATCATTACCTCCATGTTTAAACTGCTGCTTCCTTAATTGTGACGACTGCCCTCCTCCCTCCCTCAGGATTGCAGTGTGGTCTGTTGTCCGCTGGCTCCTGTTCTGTATGATGCTGGCTGGCCCAGTGACTGTCACCTGCTGGCAGACTGGCACCAGGCGCACCTGCCCTCCTGCTGCACACACCTGAACACCTGTACCTGAACACAGCCCACACCTGGAAACACGGGACCATGCTGCCTCAGCTCAGCTTTACACTGGGACTGAATTCACTCCCAGGACCTGCACACAGCTCAGTGTCTGTTCAAACTGCCTCTCCCTCGTCCTCACTGACTCAACAGCACAGGCCCAGGAGCGAGGCACTGAGAAACAAGATGCAATTCTGTCTTTCTAGTGATTTTCATCATCTTTTGTACAGCCTGTGGTATTTTTATATGTCCATTCTATGAACCTTAATTAATGTCACGTATTTGCAAAAAAATTCTGGCTTTGTGAAGAAACTTAAATCTTATTTTGAAACTTGTTTATGTTATATATTAAAATAAAAAAGTTGCCTAGAGTCCTCTGAGATTGTCAACCCTATACCCTAGGTACCTTGTCACCAACATAGCACCTCCTTTAACTGTTTTAGGGGATCATAATAACAACGTCATTTCAATAAGATTCCCAAATTCTTTAACTGGCTACTGAATTAAGCAATTAATATGTGGAGATTTCTGCACATGCTGTAAAAAAATAACATTTCCCCATAATAGTGAACAGAGGTCAGTTCTTATCTTGATATAGGTAGAGGGCTGTTTCTCCCTTCAACTGCAAGGGATGCTGTTCATTCACAGTCAATAGAGAATCTGTGAACCAGTGCAAAGATACATCTTTTTCTCTGTTATATCATGAATGGTCTGTGCACATACAACTGGGGTTCAGTGAAGGACTTAATCATCTAATAATAATAATAATAATAATAATAATAATAATAATAATAATAATAATAATAATAATTGCTTCCACTTATATAGTGCTTTTCTGGACACTCCACTCAAAGCGCTTTACAGGTAATGGGGACTCCCCTCCACCACCACCAATGTGCAGCATCCACCTGGATGATGCGACGGCAGCCATAGTGCGCCAGAACACTCACCACACATCAGCTAACAGTGGGGAGGAGAGCACAGTAATGAAGCCAATTCATAGATGGGGATTATTAGGAGGCCATGATTGATGAGTAATGAGTAATGATAATGAGTAATATTCTCTACTGGTATTAGTTATCTCTAATGGAAACGAGTAAGAGGACGTACGATTTTGACCTTAGTTTCAAACTCATAGGGAATCATTGGACTACAGTATAATTCTCTGTCCAGTCCTCTGTCCAGTCCTTGACAGGACAAAAGGAAAGCAAAAACATGCGATTGTTTAATAATTGGAATGTGTTTGACTCGTTGCCATAAATCTATTAGATTAGATGGGTCTATTAGAAATTCAGATGGGTTTCTTAGAGGTCAATAATATTTCTAAATGTATACTATACTGCAGGTAACCTAGATTTTAGAACTGAATCCAGTGTAGTTAGACCGAAGAGCTGTAATGTTAATCTTAAACACAAAGACTAGACTCGGTTCTGACACCTTGTTCAAATTCAAATTTGAGAAGGAAGAGGGCAAAGAAAACCTAAAGCACACCAGAAAAAATGATTGGAAACAAGTCGAGTCCAGATCCACAGTGCAAAGTTGTGGGACGATAGGATAAGCTACCCGGCCATGTGGCTGAAACCTGGTTTCACTTAAGAAACGTCTGTGTGAGATTCTTGCATCAATTAACTACTATCAGACAGCCATGACGGGTGGAACTGCCTCCTCCCATTTGTAACTTTTCTTATACTCTTATCTTAAGATAACACTCTGACAGCTAGGACTGATTCCTTGTTGTTCATTTTCTCCTCACTCAGATATCTTTATATCCTGGAATGGACTAACAACACTGAGGCTATCTACATGAAGGGCCAGATTATTTTGTATATTTTGTATTGTCTGCAATTCTTTATACTCCATTTTTTATTGCACTTCTTACTGACTGTGTTTATTGTATACAGTATACTGCCTGGCTGCTGTTGCATTGCAGTTTCCCTTAAGGGATTAATAAATTATCTACAGTATTTTTATATCTACATCAGCGTATCCTGTGGCTCAGCAGTATTGTGGCTACTCCATTAAAATAGGAAGGAAATGATGAAATGAAGACTCTCTCTGTAAGGAGTAGTTGGTATCTGGGAGCAGCACAGAAAACAGCTTTCAATTCTACAAGCAATGAAGCTCCTCGCAATAATGGCTATTCTGTCAGGTAAAGAGAACATTTTCACTTGGATTTTCAGCTGAATCTTTTGTTTGATACCACAAAATATACAGCACAATCTTTATTTGACAGTTTAAAATGTTCTTTTATTTATGACTTTAACTTCTGATTTATAAAGTAAAATTCCTCTTTTGACACTATGGACTTGATTTCCTTTACTACTCATGAAGGAGTTCATGTATAGATGTGTATTTTAGGCACAAGATAAAAATCTTTTTTAAGAATACTGTTGTTAAATCTGTGTTCTCTCTAAATTGCAACTACAGGTGCTCATTCAATAACAGTGTTGAATTCCAAAGACGTGACTGGCTGGGTTCATGGCACAATGACAGTCCAGTGTTCTTATGGCACCAAAAATCAACTCAGCAACCAGGTGAAATACTGGTGTAAAGGACACAATCTTCTCACTTGTACTATTTTGGTGAGGACTGACGACTCTACGACTCATGACAGGATTTCCATCAGTGATAATAAGACAGAAGCAATGGTGTCCATCACCATGAAGGATCTCCAGGAAAGGGATGAAGGGGATTACTGGTGTGGGGTGTCCTTACCTGGACCAGATGATGCAGAACAAGTGCACATCAAGGTCAACGGAAGAAAAGGTAAAATGTATTTCACAGTGGAGAGCAGCATATAAAGTTAAAGATTATGGTTCCTACTATCTGTCATTTATATAATTATAGGGTCTTATTTTTCTAAGTAAAAGTTAAAAAGTTCTGTTAAATATTAAGATTTCCTTCACCAACAGTATAAAACAGATGTTAAATACTGAATGCTGTTCTACACGTGACATCAATTAGCCGAGGACATACAGTAAAGTAGTGTTTTCAAATATCCATACGGTACTTTGTACCACAGAGCGGAGCTTTGATCCACAATTTAGCAGGTCATTACTCAAAGTCTAAATGCTTATAAGAATTTCAGTTTAGTTGCTGCAGTTGAAAATCTGAGAAAATGGGAAGATTACTTCCCATTCTTTGCAATTTCATGCTTTTGGATAATCAGCAACAGAGATCTTGCACAAGTTAAACCCCAAGACTAGGACTGGGCTCTCTGCTGTACTGTGACTTAAAACTGCAAAAATACAGTGAATTGGTCTTGTGAAAGTGTAACACGAACATGTGTGCATAGAATGGCACATATTGGCATGAGCGTTGGCAAATTATATATATACCTTCATATTTACTATAAATGAAAACAGTCTGTAATGGGTTTTCTCATGTGCTTTATTTGCTACATCACATTTTATTATGGCAATCCTACAGATGCCTGCACATTAGATATTAAAGGCCCCGGAAATGTCACGGTTGTGAAATTAAAAGTTGACAAAAAAAGGAAAAACATACAGTTTCAGACTGCTATGTTATATGTTATAAGGCAATGCTATTTATAATTGAACTTATAAATAAATATTATAGATATATAAATATTATTAATATTGTTACAAATGGCGGGTTACAAAACTGGTGAATATCAGGAACTGACCGAGTGGTTTAGTCAATAAGTTAATATTCAGAACCCCCAACTTGTAAGTGATTTCTCCAGAATATACCCACGTGGTTGGTATAGTGGGAGGCACGTGAATTTTCTGTTCTTTAGCACAGCTTTGTTGAAAAGAGTAATGCCTCAGACACACTTGGTTAAACAAATATTTGTTAACAATAACAATACACAAACTAAACATACACACAACATAAACATACAACACACAAGTTTCTCAATTTACTAGTTTTCCAGAGTCTTGCATCTAGACCACCCAGAAAAACCCCAGACTGCTATCAAGTATTCAACACAAAATATAACATATAATACACAAGTTACCATAGTTACAGTATGTACAAGGAAGAGGTTTCAGAGGCCTAACTGTTCTAATCATCCAAAAAACCCAGACTGCTGCTAAGTGTTAAACTCTTAAATAATGCCTACAGAGGCCAAAATAAGAGATACAATGCCTTCTAAATAAACGCAATATGTCCAGCAGTTAAATCTCTCCCTCTGCAAACCCAAGATCCCTATAGAATCGTGTAAACCTATAGATCCCTAGTATAGCAAGCTCTGTCTAGCAAGTTTCAAATACTTAGCTCCAATCATGTTTTGTTTGTATGATCATGAATTAGGGGCTCTCGCCTGGCACATGCTTCAAGTTCCAACTCCTCCTGATTCCTCTCTTATGGTCTGACCTTCCACGTTTCCTCTATTCTTTCTTTCTCTTTCTGTGGCCTTAATGTGATCTTAAACGGTGTATTTCTTGACTGTTCCTTTGCAATCATTTACCCACAACTTAATTAACTAGGTAAACCAAGGTAAACTTGGCAATGTTTTTGATCAAGGGACCCCCCACATCTCAGCAAACATCCCCTCTGCTTTGAAGCTTGTAATGTTAACACTGCCAGGTGTCACACACTTTACCTAAATTCTTAGAGACACTTCCTAGCCACCTATAGCTGTAACAATATTATAATTGAAAGTCATAATAAAGCAGGATTTCATCAGATAACCTGTTTTCTTATGTCTCAAAAGATTCAAAATCTACAACTTGGACACCAACAGCAACTGGATCACCAGAAAGAACAGGAACAACCAGAACAAAATCCACTCTAACCAGTTTGTCTGTATCAGTGACTGTGCCTTACAATACCTTTTCCACAGAGGAGGTCAGGTAAACCCTGGTGATTATTCCCCTAGCAGTTAAGGAACTCACAGGGTGCTGCAGTTCATGGTGTATGAGCTCTGCATCATGGTACAATGAGATTTCCTCCTTACACAAACAGAATTAGTTTAATTCTGTATATTGAGAGTGAATCTGCATAATTCAGAGGCAACCAGATTCTCAAAGTTCAACTATGATACTGCTTGTCATAAAGTAACAATCACAAATGCTAGTGCCCAGCCAGTAATTACAGTAAAGACATGTGTCCAGAGTCCAGTCTAGTTCTGGGTCCTGTCCATTGGGACCATACTCCCCTGTGGCTGTGCATGAGTGTGGAGCTCCACTGTACATGTTCCATGTATTTGGTGTTTATTTCACCATCACATAACCTGCGCTGTAAATCCTGAGCTTCCAGAGCTCAGTGTGAACAGGAGAGAGTGAATGCATGTAGGATAACAGAGGTGCTTTAGCACTAACACATGACATAAACAGAATGGCAGTGTAACAATTTAAAGTCACCACTGTTGGTAACATGCTAACAAGGTAGCTAGAAGAAAACTTTCACAAATGTTCTATCACCATAATCTAAAGGCATTAGACATACTCTACATATTTCCACAGTTGCTTGGTCTGCAGGGTTTCTGCAGGGAATCTGACTAGGATATTCAGCCCCTCGAGATCTAGACAGTGTAGAATTCTGGGATGGCAGAGCCCTGGTCCTTTGATATAGTGGTGCTCACCTATGTCTAGGGATTGGGGCTGTGTGGTTCCGAGCCCACAACCAACTGTAATCGAATCCAGCTAAGGAGAAATGCAGAGCTACATGTGCTATAAAGGAACAAGTAATAGGTTTATTCCATGCTGAAAAAAAGAAGAAAGAGAACACAACGTTTCGGCCGTGGAGCCTTCTTCAGGTGTGTCCGCTCACACCTGAAGAAGGCTCCACGGCCGAAACGTTGTGTTCTCTTTCTTCTTTTTTTCAGCATGGAATAAATCTATTACTTGTTCCTTTGCAGCCTACGCATGCTGACGCAGCTACCCACCTGAACTACATGTGCTATATACTACTACTATATCTTGAGAAATGTGTTGCATTTAATTTAATTTTTTGGAAACAATCTGAGTATTTTTTTAAAAAGGTGCCAGCAGATACTGTATATACAGTAACATATTCAAGGAACTTTTTTATTCAGGAAAAAAGGAGCACACTGTCTTCTGTCTTTTCAATTAATTTTCTCATGTCCGTGGAAGAGTTCTGTTAATGTCTCAGCATGCAACATTGGAATACAAAACCCTTCCCCTCTCAATTCCTGACAAGTTTGTGTTCAAAACCATAATTACCATTACCAAGCTGTATGGAAAGCTCAAATGATGATTGACAAATTGCCAAAATTGATTGATCATTGACAAAAGTCTATACTAAAGATTGCATTTGTGAGACAGAATGACTTTATTAAAAAGGTATGGATATACACCATCTTTAAAAGTTGTCTGAAATTCCTGACAGAAATAATTCAGTGCTGACAACGCTCGGAGCCTGCTTTGGAGCTCTGCTGTTCCTGTGCTGCCTGACAGTCCCGATTGCAATGAAGATTAAAGGTAAGAGGTGGAGTGTGCTGTAATCTGTGAAGAATAACTCTTAATAATTACCTAAATATAATTAAGTTAATTAAGTATAATTTCAGCAGTAGGAGTTGTAGGAGTTGTAGTTCAGCAGTAGGAGTTGCAATCCCTATCTGCGCTTGTTTCAAAGGACCTACAACAGAATTCTGAAGTCCTCTGGAGGGCATTTGATGATTTTCTAAAAAGTTTCTAAACATATTTAACATTTCACTCACGCCTGTCAAGACTTTCTGAAACTTTCTTTTCAGGAAAAAGAACAGAAGAGGCTACAATGAACAATGCAACAGTGAGTCTCTGTTTTTAATATTCATAACTTATCAAGAACATTTTTTACCCAATATGCACTTTAAATAAATTTTGAATCGCAGGAACTAAAGGCAACTTGATATTCAGATTAAGCAAACCAATAAAAAGTTATAGCCTAGAAAATGTTTCAATTTAGTGCATACCGAAATTTTGAATAATCACAATGCAAACAAAAGTGAGATTCTTAGTGATGAATTTAGTTATATAAAGTAAATAGATATTTCTAAAGTTTGTTTGGCTTGTTTACAGAAATACAGTATACATGGTGTTATAAAGGTAGTCAAGGTTATCAAGGTAATAGACCTATACAATCTAAAGACTGTGCACTGCAGAGCCAATACATTTAATATAGTGTACAAATCAACATTCCTATGTAGACACAGAAAGTACACACTAGAGCTCATTAACATTACTGACAACCACCTCTGCCACTGTTTTAAGATTGCGAGGATGGATAATCTACTAAGTCTGTGATCATTGCAATACGCTTTGCTCCAGGTAGGGTACTTATACATGTAGCAATGAAATTTGGCTCCATATACCTGTACAGACGAGGCAATAGGAAATTGTGTTCTTGTGCACACATCATCCGTACAACGAAGGGCACCGTATTACCTCAATGTGACCTCAATGTGCATCCTTCATGGCTGACATATTCCCTCTTCTGGACATGCTAATACTGTGCATGTTTTTTTTATCATACAGCTGTATGAATATACCAATTTTATCACCACCATATACATGTAGAAGAAATTAAGGTGCCATAAATACTGAGTATTTTCCCTATTAAAATAGATCAATATGTTATCTTTTCAGCCTTCTGGGGAAGCTGTAGACTTAACCTACACTGAAGTGAGAAGTGGCAACAGCACACTGCCCCCTAGTGACAGCACCTATGCCAATGTCAGTCTCTCTCAGTGCCCCCCCACAGAGGAGTCTGTGGTGTACTCCATCGTCGCCCGGTGAAGAGGAGGAGGAGGGTTTCCTGTGTGTGAGGAACAGGGTGGAGTCTCTTTTCATGTGGAATCAATTAATAGAATTGGCTAATTAGAACGCTTCTCAACAAACACTTGAGACAATTTGATGAAACTCAAAAAGTCCACTGATCGATTGCCAGAAAAGCCACAGATTCATCATGAGGGTTGTGGCACCCCAGAGCCTGTCTTGGATGAACAGGACACAAGGCAGGATTGTGATCTGGAAGGAATGGATCACCAACCCATGTACAGGGCCTATTGAGAGACATGTCTTTAGCCAGCCAGTGCTGAGAATATGGGAGGAATATAAGGAATCTGGGAAAACCCACACCCCCCCCCCATGTCATCCAGCTCAGAGATCCTCACCTGCTGGAAGTGAGCAGACTGGAACTGCCTGCACACACCTGAACATACCCTTGTCACTGAACACAGCCCACACCTGGACACAGAGGGGCCTGCTGCCTCAGCTCAACTTCTCACTAGGAATGAAATGGCAGGAGTGGGTAGCTGTGGAAGGAGATGCCTTTCTACCACCCTGTTTGATCAGTTTCTCTATGGCTTGTGTTATTTTAATGTGGCCATTCTATGAGCTCAAGCAAACGTTTAGAATTGGGAAAACATTGTTACACGAAGTAATTCAAACCCTATTTTAAAACTTGTTGTTCATGTTACCCTTAGAAATAAAACACCAAGAGTCCTCAGGGGCTGTTGAAGGTCAGTACCGTGCTGTCTGTGCCTTGTGTGGGAGACCCCCGGTGGTGGTAGTGTACAGTAGCACTAGGGACCTTTGCACATACTCTACTGTGTATATTTGCTGGCTTTATCTGACATATAAACCAAATAAAATGCAACAAATCAAAGCCTCACTTGAGCCCTTAACACATTAGACACCCTGTTTAGTTTTCTGGGGCAACTAACCTTGCTTACCCTCACTCAAAACATTTCCTAGTGAGGTCAGCCTGACCCTCACCCTTTCTGCTCTACTGCCCCCCTGTGTAGAAACAGACACTGTTTCATAAGCACAGATTTCCAGGTGGTGGGACCGGGCCAAACAATGTGTCCACTGAGGTCCGGGTCCAGGGCAGGGTCCCAGGGGCAGTATGGGACATGGGGACAGGCTGGCTGAACTAGAGTCCAGTGGGGAAAGTTCAGGGCCAGCAGAACCAGCAGGGCACGACAGGGTGCTGAAGTCCAGCATGCAGGGCTGCGCTGCCAGGCCCCCACAAGAGGACTGCGAGCCACTGACAGAGCTCACACCGGGGGGAAAGATGTGTGACGTTGGCACCAGGGAAACAGCAGCACCTTACATCCCCCGAAGGCCAGGGCTGCCAGGGGAACATAAGTGTGCGGACTAACAACAGGCAGCTGTCACACTAAACCTACAGGCCCACAGTCAAAGAGCCGGCAAGCTGTGGTTCGCAGCAGGCAGGAGCTGTGGGGGAGAGTCGGGTGAGTCAGGACATGGGCAGGCGACAGGGAAACCGGAGCAGATTGAAAACAGGAGCAAGGCAGGAAGAACTCCACTTGGGAAACCACAGGCAGGTGGTCCAAAAACACAGAGCAGGACAAGGACTGAAAAGGCAATGAAGGATTGCTGAGGAAAAACTGGGCAGAATTCAAAATTCCCACAACACCTGATCCAGAAAGACTGCTCATTACGCTCAGGTGCTATGAGTATTTTGTCTCCTCAGCCACCAGTGCAGGGCAGGCAGGAGAGAGAAGGCCCATGGCCACTACAGCATGACAATACTTTTGTAAGGCATTGTCTGTGTCATATTCTTAGAACGCACCCTCATTTGATGAGAACGTTTCCATCAAGCACATCTAAAGGAACTAGACTACACATCTGTAGTCTGAGTGTGCTGAGGAAAGGATTAAATTGTTCTCAGAAAGTATGTCCGCAGTGGAGCTTGTCCTGTACTGTAGCTCAAAGCAATATGGTGAATAAACTACAGAATGGCAGAATGTCTATGGCTGGGGCACGCATGATGCTGGCATGGTTGGCTTGAAATATAGCCGAGAATTCCTTTTAACTTTAAGATCCAAAGACTTCCAACCCTCAGATACACTGTTCGCCAATCTTCCGCAAGACATTCTGTGTCCTACAAAAAATAAGCTCCCGTTGCCCAACGTCGTTCTGTCGAACTTGCGATCAACTGAGGAGTAACCTAGACGGACTGCACGCCGGCGTGCGGTTCCTGCACGAGTTTCGGGATGCCTGCATCCTAGCTTTTACGGAAACTTGGCTGGACGAGACCGTGAAAGACGATGTTATCAAGCCTGGGGGTTTTCTCTAAGCTGGACAGAGATCCTGAAAGCACAGGTAAACATCACGGTGGAGAGCTCTGCTTGGTGATAAACAACCGCTGGAATCAGAACATCACCGTCCGTGAGAGTGTGTGCACGCCTGACATCAAACTACTCAGTGTCTCTCTGAGCCCCTTCTATCTCCCTCGAGAATTTCTGCAGCTTTTTATTACTCTTGTCTATTTCCACCCTAGAGCGAATGCGGTAAAAGCTTCTAATATAATTTTTGATGTTACCCAAAAACTGGACGCTCCTAAATTTATTTTAGCAGACTTTAACGGCTGCACACTAAATAACAATCTTTCAACGTATTACCAATACGTGACCTGCCCCACGTGGTTGAATCCAATAATCGATCGTTGCTACGGGACAGTCCCTAATGCGTACTCGTCCCTTGCAAGACCTCCACGGGGCAACTCCGACCACAACACTGTGCTCCTCAGGCCGATCTACCAGCCGCTGTTCCAGAGGATCAAACCGGAGACAAGAACAGTAAACGCCTGGGACTCGGAGAGCACCGAACGGCTTCGGGATTGCTTTGACTGCACGCGATGGGACGTGTTTAAAAACACATCAGAGGACATTCACTAACTTATGGAAGCCCGTTTCCGCCAGGGAGTAAAGAAAAACGCGCTATGGTATCTCGCAATTGCGACTTATTATCTCAGAATTGCGACTTATTATCTCAGAATTGCGAGTTAATATCACAGAATTGCGAGAATTGCTGGCAAGACCTGGGTTCGAGCCAGTGCAGTGAGGCCGCTCCCACCCTAGTTCGTGCGAGGGCACAAGCCCTAGAACCCGAGTCCGTTACAATAACGAAAGGACAGACAATGAAATAAGGGGTATTTCGAAGTCGCAAATGTGAGATAAAAAGTCGCAATTGCAAGATAAAAAGTCAGAATTCTGAGATACTAAGTCGCAATTCTGAGTTACCATAGCGCGTTTTTTTTATTCCCTGGAGGAAACGGGCTTCCATACAAACACGCTGTTGTGGTATCAGATTATATTTCTTTCTGCGTCGACTCTATCATCTCTACCAAAAGCTTTCCCCAATAACAAACCCTGGGTAACAAAAAGCCTTAATCATGTCCTCCTAAGCAAGAAGCAAGCTTTTTCTCAAGAGGACACCCAGCTCAGGAAGGAAGTGCACAGAGAGGTGAAAAGGGAAATCAGGAAAGCTAAGGAATAGTATAGGGTAAAAAAAGAGAACACCATGACAACAGGTGACACCAGGATGGCATGGCAGGGCATTAAAAGCATGGCCAACATCCCTCAGAAGCGTAGTGGCAGCACTACGGCCAATGGGCAACAGCTGGCCAGTGATCTGACCTGCTTTGAGTTGAACTCTACAACCACCTCAGCTCATAGAGATATTCATCCTGTAACTGGAAAGGTTTCCTTCAAAATTCACACAGCAGAAGTACGTAGACTTTTTAGGAAAATCAATATTGGGAAAAGCGGAGGTCCAGATAATGTGTGGTAGGGTCCTACAATCTTGTGCAGATCAGCTTTGCAATATTTTTAGTTTTCTCTTCCAGATGTCCTTAAATTTACAGATAATTCCCTCTCTGTGGAAGAAATCATTATTTCTGTTCCTAAAACTGCCAAGCCTAGTGACCTTAACAGCTACAGGATGGTTGCCCTTGCTCAGAAACTCTCAAAGTACTTCAATCTGAATGATAACTTGATAGGTGGGTGCTAGACTTCCTAACTAACAGGTCTCAGCAAGTCAAATTGGGGAAGTGCTTATCTGACATTCGCTACACATCAATTGGATCACCACAGAGCTGTCGTGTCCCCTCTGCTGTACATTTTGTACACTAATGATTGCATAAGCAAACACGCAGATAGACATCTCATTAAGTTTGCTGATGACACAGTCCTGGTCAGTTTATTAAAGGACACAGAATACAATCATGGGCCCATTCTAAATGATTTTACTAACTGGTGCAACGAGTTCTCCCTAAAGCAAAATGTTTCAAAAACAAAGGAACTGGTTATTGATTTTAGGAAAAATACCACACTCCCTCAACCCATTATGATTGATGGTCAGCCTGTTGAAATTGCTGATGACTGTAAGTACTTGGGACTGGTCATTGACTAAAACTTGAAATGGAACAAATGTTGTGACACTATCTATTAAAAAGGCCAACAGAGACTCTTCTTTCTTAGAAAACTCAGCTACTTTAAGGTAGATAAAATTATTTTTCTACAAATCATTCATTGAAAGTGTCTTTAACATACTGCTTCACTTATTTGTTTGGCAACATAAGTTCCAGTAATTGTAATAGGCCGAATACATTAGTAAATATAAGTGGAAAAATAATCGGGAATAATCAAATCAACTTATACAATATTGGATAAAAAAGGTAATTTAAAGTATAAAATAAAACCTTTTAAAAAATATGCTAAGGGTTTGCCTACTCAATTTAACAAATTTTGACCCTCTGATTAAAATGAAAATGATTCAGACTTCATATGAAGTGCTGCTTCCTTAATTGTGACGACTGCCCTCCTCCCTCCCTCAGGATTGCAGTGTGGTCTGTTGTCCGCTGGCTCCTGTTCTGTATGATGCTGGCTGGCCCAGTGACTGTCACCTGCTGGCAGACTGGCACCAGGC